TAAAAAAAATAATAGCGCTAACTAAAAATACTTAATTAAACCTAGCTATTTAGGCTATTTAAAAAGACCGAACTCTTATTATTCGGGCTATAATAAGGATTTATAATATTAGTTACGTTACTTTAAGTCGTAAATTAGATAGAATATTATTATAACGCAATATTATTCTTAACTCGCGGAAATTAATTACGTTTAAAAAAGAGAAGCTAGTTAAGTATATTCTCGATTTAAATTCCTAATTATTTCTTCCCCGCTTTAGTAATATAAAAGATATAGCTAATCGACTACTCGCTAACCGCGATACGCCCCCTATTAAGAAGCGCTAAGTTTCTAACTTCGTTAAGCGCTAAATATAGCTCTAGACGCGATTTTTTTATAAATATAATTATAAAAGGGCTTAATACGAAGATCTAAATATAATAAACGCGTAGTTTTGCCTCGTAGCAAATATAATTACGAAATACGGTATTATAGAGTCTAATATTTATAACTTTAATAAGACTAGCTTTATAATAAGCTAGATTATATTTAGAATAGTCGTTACGAATATAAAAAGGCGTTTAAATACGAAAATAATATAGCCTAGTAATTATAAATAGGTTATAATTATTTAAGCTATTAGCTTATTAAGCTATAGCGTCCCGTTATATATTATCGTTATGGGTAAATATTACTTCTTTATTTAGTATACGGAATCCGGTTTATTATGTAATTAGGTTATCGTAATGTTTAAAAACGGATAGATAATAAATAAAAGAGGCTTAGATTAAGTAAAATACTTTAAATAGTAAATAAAACTATATATAAAAGTTAATATTACTTCCTCGTCGTTAATAGATACGAAAGTTACTACTTTACGGATTTTAAGTTATATTATAAAGAGAATAATATCGTTACCTTTTATATACTAGCTTATTTATTTTATTTATTATAGCCCTTAGATATTAGATATTTTAGATTTTTAAAAACGGTATATAGCTAAGAAATTAAGGAAAAGATATAACGGAGTAATACTTATATTATAAAAGAGGACTTCTTCCCTACGTTTTATAGGGTATTTACGTAAGCGATTATAAAAAAAAATATTTAGGGAGGATTTAGAGGAGCCGGGCTTATGCTTTTAAGTATAAAGAGTATACTATCTAAGCTTAACGTAAAGTTATATACTCCGACGCCTCTAGGATCCCTCCTAATAATACTACCGGCTTAGACTTCTTAAATACTAAATAACCTAATAAAAATATTATTATAGTTATAACTTATTAAAAATCGAATTACTTATTATTAAAATAGCTCCTTAACTTCGATTATCGAAGCTATTAAGTATTTATTAAAAGGGGCGCGAGGATTTATATACTAAATTACTTTATTAAAATCGGAGTACTAGATCTTTTAAGAAGAGAATAACTTACTTAGCTAATATAAGAGGGCTAAGAAAACACGTCTTAAATAAGGAGGAAGTTTTATAATAGCTAATAGGGAAGACCTTTAGTTATAAAGAGAGGTAATAACTTAAATTAAAGAGGAAACGCGTTAGAGTAATAGTCGTTAACTAAGGACTAAGACAGATTAACGATAATATAGCGTCTATAAGAATACCGGTTATAATACGCGAATATATTAAATCGCTAAAGAAATGTCTAAAAAAAAGGATACTAAATAGTTTTAATTAAATTACTTTTCTTAGTACTATTTATTAGTTACGAATATAATATAGTTGTAGTCAGGTAGCCCACTCGCTTATCTAGCCCACTCGCTTATTATATACGTTATAAGTTCTTTATTTTATTTATTATTTTTCTTAATAATATATTATATTTTTTTATAATTTACTTTTTTAAAAACTATATTATTATTAAAATTATAAATAACGTTAGGTATTTTATTATTCTTAGCCTTAACTAGCTCACTAGCTAAGTTAATAAGTTTTTTAAAATTAAATAAAAAAGTACTTAGGGTTTTAAAAAATATCGTCGTTCTTTTTTATTACTTAGTAAGTCTCGTAAGGTTAACTTACTAAATAAGAGTAATTAAAGTATTATAACTAGCTAGTTATAGTAAGTATATTAATAAAAGTTAAGGCTATGAGTATTAAATAAATAATATCGTAATTATAAATAGTTTTTTTAAAGCTATATTTATAAGTCGTAAAGTAGGTAAAGCTTCGGTAATTAATCGTAGTTTTATTAAAAAGGGGTTCTTAGTAAAAATAGCTAAAAGTAATCGTAAGATTTAATACTAAGTTAATTACTAAAGAAGCTATAGAAGTCTATTTTTAAGCCTAGCTTAAGTTTATTTTATATATAAGTCTAACTATAAATATATCCTTTATTAATAATTATTTTTATTTATTAAGTAATTGCTTAGTAAATATTAATAAGTAATTACTTAGAGTAATTATAATAATTACCTTATTACGTAATTACTATTTCTTATTTATATATAATTTATTTATAATTCTTCCGTTTTATAAGAGTTACTTTATATTCCTATATTTTTTTTATATATAATATACCGTAGCCGCTATAAGCCTACGGGGCGGGCCCTAGTCTTAGTTATATATATTAAGTTATAATAAAAAGTTAAGGCTACGAGTACTAAATAAATAGTATCGTAGTTATAGATAGCTTTTTTAAAGCTATATTTATAAGTTATAAAATAAATAAGGCTTTAGTAATTAATCGTAGTCTTATTAAAAGGGGTTTTTAATAAAAATAGTTAAAAGTAATTATAAGATCTAATACTAAGTTAATTATTAAAGAGCTATAGAAGTCTATTTTTAAGCCCGGCTTAAGTTTATATTATATATAAGTTTATTTATAAATATATCTTTTATTATAATTATTTTTATTTATTTAAGTAATTACTTAATAAATATTAATAAGCGCTTATTTAAAGTAATTATAATAATTACTTTATTAAGTAATTATTACTTCTTATTTATATATAACTTATTTATAGTTCTTTTATTCTATAAGAGTTACTTTATATTCTATACTTTTATATATATAGTATATTATAGCCGCTATAAGCCTACGGGGCGGGCCCTAGTTTTAGTTATATATATTAGGTCGTAATAGGGGGATATACGTATTAGCTAGGTATAATAGAGCTAGAGTTTAGTTAGCGAAATCTACTTAGAGTTTTTTTTAAGTAGTATTAAAGTTAATTTCTAAATTTACGTAAAGTATATATACTTATAGTTAATAAAAGCTCGTAGGTATATACTCGAACTTAGTAACCTCGAGCTACTAGGCAATAAATAATTTATTAATATATAAGATCTTATTAAGTACTATAGTTTATAGGTTATAAAAGAGAGTAGCGGTAATAGCCTTTTACTTTTTATAAGCTAATATAAAAACTTTAATAAATCCCTTATTTTTATTAATATTAAACTTATTTTAAACTTTTATAATACCGTTGCCTAGCTATTTACGTTTAACGTTAAGGTTTATATTTATATTAATATAAAAAATATAAAGTTAGAGTTAAATAGTAAGTAGGACCTTAAATAGGGCCGAGTAAAGGGTATTTTCGAAGTTAGTAATAGCTATACTTAGTATCTAAGTACTTACTTCTTATTAAATCATATTAAATAACTATATAAAGAAATTATATAATTCGTAGTATTTTAATAAGATAATAATAAAAGCGTAGTTAAATAGTAAGTTAATATTTATAATACTAATAACTTAAAAAAGAGGTATTTTAAACTTATTCCTTTTATATATATTATTAAAGCTTATTATTTATAAAAAGCGCTTTTATATTTTTTTATATTATAAGTAAGTTTATAATATAGCTTTAAGTAGGTCGGGGTCTTTTTTATTTTATAAGACGTAGTAATAGAGGCTACGGGTTTAAATATTATAAAAGACTACTTAGGTAAGGGTTTTATTATTAAGGCGCTCGAGTTATTACTTTTATTACTTATTATAGACGTCTTTTTATTTAAAATATAACGGTATATTAGGTATATAGTTATAGACTACTATAAAGATTTTACGAGGCTTAATAGTATTATACTTAGATAAGCTACTAATAAGGGCAGTTTAGTTAGAAAAAAGCTAGTAATAAATAGGGTATATTAATAAGCAGAGGGATAGGCCGTAATTATAATTTTTTATTTTAATTTTAAACGTCTATTTTTTTTATTTTAAGCGCGAGTAGTAGCTATACCCTACTAAGAGTAACTAATTTTTTACGTTTTTAATTAATAGAGATTAATACCCTTAGTTTAATAAATTAAGTCTTAGTTATATTATAGAGTATAGTACGTAGCTTAGTTATTAACGTAGTTAGAACTATTACGGTAAATAATTACGAAGCTATAGTTATGGGCGAATATTTATAAAGTAGTTATAAGGGTATTAATTAAATTAGTGGGCGCGCTATTTATAAGAGGGTTTTTAATATATAAAAAAATAGCGGTATTATTATAAAATTTTACTAAATTAACTTTTAATATTAAAAGTTATAATAAATTTATTACTAATTAACTGCGCAATAGTAACGACGTAGTAGAGGTTAAAGTAGGTAAGTTAAAGTAAGTAGGTTAAAGTAAGTGGGTTAAAGTGGGTGGGTTAAAGTGGGTAGGTTAAAGTAAGTAGGTTAAAGTAGAAGTAGTTAATTAGTAGTAGGCGGAAGTACGTATTTAAAAAGTAGGAATTACGAGCTTGGGCTTATACGGAAAGTGCGGGGGTAGGTCGTAGAAGGTGTGCTAAAAATTACTAAGCTTTGGTTAGTCGTACGGACTATATAAAAGTGGATTACTACCCGGATAGCCAAACAGTACTGCCCGGATAGCAAAACTCGTTAAGAGACCTCCCGCGTGTCGGCAGACGAGCAATCTCGTTCAGACTCCCCGGGTTGAAAAGTGAGAGCGAGACCGACCCCATGAAAAGCAGATGACTGGCAGACAGGAGTCTCTTCCCGGTCATCGTAATGCTCGATATGGAAGACTGTCCTTCTAGAAACAAAGGATTGGCGAAGAGGGCATGCTGGAGTACATTCTACGCTATTTCGACGATGGTGCGTGGTTGAGTTCTAAGTGGATGGGCGACATGATGGATATGATGGCAGCCAACGTCTTTGGGAGATTCGTAAGTTTCCCCTATTCTTGCAAAACCCAAGACATCAAGTTACTAACGCATTTGTCAGAGAGAGTTTGCACTCATCCGCTCTATGAAGACAGCAAACAAGAGAGAGTATAAGTTCCTCGTCACGTCCGCCGATCAAAAAGTTGTCCCGACTGTGAGTACATGTATCTGCCTGTTTTTGTTCTTGCCAGACTGAGTTGGAATACTAACTGTGCTTCTCTTGCCAGGGGAATGATGTCATTTACATGAACCAGGAAGCTTTCGAAAGCAAAGCGGCGCGCATGTGGTATGATAATGTGAGTTTGCAAAGCCGCTACCATCCTCGTCTTTTCACGCCGAATGGGATGCTGACCAGTCGTCAGAACTGCATCGCACTTAGCTACCTCGAGATTGGTGTTGATAGCAAACTCAAGCATTACACCATCTGCGATAGTGAAGCCGAAGACATGGAGCACTGGATCCGTGACTTCCGGGCCGCACTGATCAAACTACAAGTGCTACAAATTGAAGGATGGAGATGGCAAGTTGGACGATCCCGTCTTCCCGCCGCCCTTCGATGCAGCGGCAATGATTGAATACCCAGTCTGCTTCTGTAACATGTGGTCCAAAGACGTAACTACCAACACGTAGCTTGTCTGCAGGGCCTGCGATGGGCTTGGGCGAAGCTTTCATAGCTCCGTGGCTGAGTATGCAGCGACTGGCGGCACTACCATCTGACGCCGCGTCTTTCCATTTGTACCTGTTGTTTGTAATTAAAACTTCAGTAATATTTCAATGTAAATAAATCACCATCCCGAACTCTTCCTGGTATGTGCCAGACATCACACACGTCCATGAAGCAGTGCTCTATAGAAAGCATTTGAAGCGGATCCTTCACGTTTTCCTCGAGGTGCTTGGAACAGACGTTTAAAGATTTTGGCTCACAATATGTATTGACCCAGTCGTAGAGATATAGGAATTGTTTGACTAAATTAAGCGTATCCAAAGTAAATATTCGGTAATGACTGTGAAAACTGATCTACCAGTTATAATAAAAGTCGATTAGATATCAAACGCTGTCAGACGATTTTCAAGCATCTGAAGACGTTGCCGGACCACCTTGATCCGGGTCTAAAGCGACACGAGAGAAGTAAGAGCACCAAGCATGTTGATGATCTGTCCAGAGTACGCAGTGACGCAAGCCTGAATAGATCCACCAGGGGGAATGATGATAGATCCCGAACCGACCTCAGAGTCACCGCTGCGGGAGACACCGATCCGCTTGCCACCAAGCTGGTAGTACACCTCCTTGGGGTTGATGCGGTTGATTCCACCAGCATCCATGACGTCGACTTCGAAGGTAGCCTTGAGGTTACGCTTGCCATTGTTGTTCCATCCGGCGCTGCAAGTGGTGACTTGGCCCGGGTTGGAGAAGGTGTTGGCGACCCAGGTGTGGATGTTGGGCTTGTCGACGCAGGTGACGTCCCAAGCGCCCTGGCCAATCTCGTTGTATCCGTGGAACTCGACGCACCACTGGTTCTTGCCACAAGCGCCGGGGAGGCGGTAGAGGATGTCGGCGTGGGAGTTCTCGGCCATGCAGGAGACCTGAAGCTTGTTAGCGTGCATCCTCCAGGGCGGGATGAGGTATGCTCACTTTGAAGGTGTTCACGTCGGTGCCGGTGCGGTCACAGGTGGCTTCACGGTAAAGCCACTGTTTAAATGTTAGCACGAGCCTTACTCAGGTAGGTACGAGATGACAAGTTCATACCTTTCCGCCGCTGCGGGGCAAGGGGCGACGACCTCTGCAGACAAAGGCAGACGCGGAGCTTCGTGCTTCAAGCTCTCTCTGAACCACGTTGGCAGGGTTCTCATTCTGAGAGTACAACTCAATGTTTCCCAACTCGGAGAGCTCGATATCCTGAGTGGTGGTGGTCCACTCAGCCCGGCGTTCCAAAGAGTCAGAGGGAACGGCTGCGAGGGCCGTCGGCAGGACAGCGGCCAACAGAGCCGCGGATTGGATGAGTTGGAAATGCATCTTGATAAATGGAATAAATGACAGTCGTTGTAAAGAGTGATGATGAGTGAGTGTGGTTGAGAATGAGTGGATGAGAAGGCTGGTGAGTTGTCTGGCAGGAGAGTTGATTCCTCATGGCTTTCCGAGATGCTTTATACTCGACTTGAGGCGGAGAAGCCGGAAATCATCAGCAAAATGCGATTCTTCATGATTGACATTCACTCATGCAAGTGGACAGCTCCATGACTTACAGTTTGAAGCTATCTCGAGACTTGGGTGGAGTTGATAGGTCTTTTTGCCGGGGGCCCGAAAGCGAGGAGGTCAAGTGCACAGCTTGGTGGAACAGGGTATTTTCGCCTAAAGACAGAGCAACTTCTTAGAGTTTGACTATGTTGCTCCATAGACAATCTCGTGAAGCCTGTGAAAACTAAATGTCGTCTTGCTCATTTACAGAGACCCGGTGGAAGCTAATGGCGACCGCATGACTACGTTCTAGCCATCTCTAGACCGACTGTACTCGGATCCCCTGCATAGAATAAACTTTCAACGCTGCTGAAAAACTTTTGGCTATATGATGGATCTCATGAGGCTCTCCGAGTATTTGGCGATTGTGATAGAACAGGAGCCTTACAAGTCTTTTGCTGAGAGAGCCGTGGTGGTCTTTCCTGTACCCAAGAATACGCAAAGTATCTTTGTTTTCGCAAGGAAGCCATCGCCTCGTGTCTGAACTTGTATTGTGCAAGGTTGCCTTTACGAATTTTCTACCTCCTGAAAATTAGTCAAATACAAAGTTCTGGACAGCGTTAACCAGAGGGTATTAGGACTAGCTTCATATATTTACACTTATGCTAAGCTTTTAGCTAAACCTCGGAAAGACGTTACATGACTCTCGCCATGCACCAATTAGGCAACACCTAGGCGACATGGGCCTTTTGAGGCATTGTACACGCCAGTAGAATTTCTTCCAGCGTTAGGATCATTATTCGGTCAATTCGGTCCCTGAGTAAACCTTCGTGCTTTCGGCGACCTCGACTACTACATCGCGAGCGTCACGCCCAGCGCACGGTGACGTCGGTCTCGAATCGCCCCCGTAATTCCGCAGAGCTTAGTTGAGTATCGTCTTTGAATCTCGGTGTCTATAGATACCCCGAGCTTCATTATCATCCTATGTGCTGAGTAATTATTACCCCGGAACCTTACTCTCCTTTTCTGCTGAGTTCTGAATACCGTGGCGTGGGTTGAGTAGGCTTCCATGAGTGTTTGGTGTGAAAGCTGTATACGGGAATAGGGGCACGTCTGTCAAAATCTACTCATTGAAGTGGGGGGCATAGAAGGAGTCACTGCAAGAGGTAAGGATTGAAAATTTGATTTTATTCAGAATCGACAAGTGGCTGAATGCTATGCTGTGCGGTGGAAAGATACAGACAAAAAATGAAAAGATCAAAGACAGCGAGCTCAGTGTCATTTTTACACGAGCACACAGCTGTCCTACCATAACTCCTGAATTGCAACAGAATGCAGAGACCTGGAACCAACCCACGTGCATCGATCCCGGTGATGCCGGGCTAAATGAGGGCTAGTCCACTTCGGGGGCACGAGCGCTTTACCAAAGAAATCGCAGTCGAGGTCCGAGTGGCGCGCGGGGATCCTTGGGGACTTGCTACGAGCCGTCACCCGACATCGTCCAGGGACTATCAAGCTTCTGGGCAGTAATCTTATCAGATTTGGTCCCTGTCGTCAAAGTTCCACGGGTTTCCGCGGAGGTTGGCTCCTCATCAGAAGAATAATTGAGAGAAATAGAAGAATCAGAGGCGGAATCAGTTGTCAGCTCAGGCGTGTTATCGCTAAAATAATCTGGCGACCCCAAGAGCTCGGAAACGAACTGCAGGGGCGCGAGTCGTGCGCTATACGTGCTGCTGCTGTCGGGCTCATCGCCCGAAGGGAGCTCGTCTAGTTCTGGGGAGCAAAGAAATTGCGCGAAAGACTCATCTCGGCCGAGTTCGGCTAGAGATAGGTCGAGGGCGAGCTGCACATCATCGTCGTATGAGATCTGCTGGAGTTTGGACTTGCGCGCCCGCTTGGCAGGGCGCATGGTGTACTCAGGCTCTGAATGGTGATTAATGATATCGAGACCGAAAGCAGGACCACGGGTATGCTCATCGTCGTAGAGAAGACCCAGCCGATACAGCTCTTCGATGTCGGGGGCGTCTTCCGGGTAGAGCCGGGCTTTCGTTGTGCGAGGATCCCGGAAGGCATCTTGTCTCTCCAGGGACGGCGTCCGACGGTGCTCGCCCGGGAGTTTGTGGCCACTAGAGGCCAGGTTGCGACCCTCGGCCGCCTCGTCAGTGCGCCATTGCCGTGTAGAGCGGTGAGTCTGGCCCCGACGTGTCTGTCGGTGCTGACGGGCCCGTTTCTGGTGGTTTGCGGTGAGGACGAGGTCGAGGAGAGGAAGCTTCTGATCGGCGAGCTCTCGGTGCAAGGCGATGGAGCCGTCGGGGTGGAAGTAGGCGCCGTTGTAGTGGGCGCGGGGGCGCGGCCTGCTGACCTGCGAGGGGCCTGGGGGCAGGTACCGCTGACTGAGATCTAGATCTAGGGCATCGCTGCTGCTGCTGTGAAGTCTTAGACCCATGCTGGGCAGAAGGTGGCTTTATATACGGGGGCTGTTTCTGGTTGGAGTTTGCGTGTGGCGGGTGGTGTAAGTTAGGACCGGAAGGGAGATGTGTCCTAGGAAGGGCGTAGAAAAGAGGTAGAGCAAGTCGACAAGGGGTCTGACGCAAAGGTGCGCGCGGTGACTTGAGACCGGTCGAAGATGATGGTTGTAGTATGAGACAGATGCAATGTCGATGAACAGAAGAGATATAAGTACATCTAGACAGATTACCTCGATGTTGTGAGGCGAAACTGATAATGTTGGCCTCCGACGGGTGAGTTGGGCCTGGCGTAGGCTGTAACGCGTGGGCGCCTTCGCTCATCCCTGTAGCCAGCCTGCAGAACGCTCCCGAAAGCTTAGTATTAGTCCAACTTGGGGATGTTCAAGGGTCCTGATGGTGGGTTGCAACGGCCGCTGATTGGGGACTAAGTGGCTGATGAGAAGTGAGTCATGCTTGGCGATGATGAGGGCGCAGCGCGTGCTGTGTTACCTGGCAGGCTGACAAGTGACACGACGTGAGATGTTGCGTAGTGCTTCAACTTCCCATTGCCCTTCTACATGCCTGCCTTTCCTAAGACTCGCACATAGACTAGAAGAGGCGATGGATCTCATGCCGCATGTTTCTTGCCTTGTTTCTAGAAGCTCCCGAGACACTTATTCCCAACGAAGTTCGAAAATTGGCAAGGCGGCTATCAGTGGCTACGGTGGGCAGTGGGTAGCCGAGACCAAGGGCAGTCATCAGCGCGGAGGTTTGCCTCCAAAGTTTGCGTGCCTTGACAAGTTGGGTTCTGAAGAGACCACAATAAGATAACCCCAGCGAATAGTTCACAGCATGGCAGATGATTCACACTACATAGATGAACTGGTGAAACTGAAAGGTGGTCCCGAATACTACCAAGTAAGTTCTTGTTCTATTCATTCCATTCGTCTTAGAGAAACCCAACGAGCTGGTTGACTCACGGCACGGGGCTACCGGCGATCAATTGGGTTCACTGCATGATCTCATCCCGGTCGCTAATGCAGCATCGCGATGAGATGACTCCCACATCCCTGACTCGATGCACATCAATACACGTGGATAGAAATTACAAGCTGATGAACTTTCAATTGAACTTGATGATTGGACAATCGATTCTGCCCAACACATGATTTAGTGGTAAGGCACGCAACTAAGTGCGCGGACATGTCGCCAGCACTTCATATGGGGCTTTTAGCACTCATCCCTGGCCCACTTTAACGTCGACGACGCAACACAGACAGAGCTTCTTCAACATCTGATGGAACGTCCAAGACCCATGTCACTTCATGTGATATTTGAAGTGACGACGCAGGGCGGACATCGCATGTGCTTGTACTGGCAACAAGCACACTTCACACCATCGCTCATATTTTCTTGCAATGGTGAAGTTGTGAACACAGTACCATGAAGAGATTTGTCTTGGCTCATTGATCACAGGCAAGCTACGCCACGTCCTTGCCGGATATCATGTTCAAGCATCAATATGTGCCACCGTTAAATTACTTCTGAACACAAATTTTTAAACGTGAATTTCAGAACATGGCAGCATCTAGTACCCTGTTCAGCAGTAAAGAACAATCTCAATGAATTGAGACTGACGGTGACGATGCCGAAGCAACCTGAATCGATGAGCTTTCTGTGAACGACTGCTTGGTCGGACTCCGCTTGTCGAGGAAGATTTGAGAACTGGGCCGAGTGCGAGTGCCTGAGTGACTCATGTTGGAAGCAAGCGTCGTCGACAACTGAATCACCTTCGACGGCAAAGTCTTTAGCAGTTGCCAGACGTTGGGCATACACGCGACCACGATGCCAACCCCAAGCTCTACGTAGGCCCAGAGAACGACAGCCACTGAGTCAGCGGTAGTGTTGAGCGAGGTTGCGAATGCGATGAGTGTCTTGATACGCAGGATGCTGACGATAGTGAGGCTTCAACTAGTGTTAGTCGACGATGCACAATGGGGGTGGCATGCAGGGGTCGAACTTACAAGATACCGACCAAGAACATAGCCATGACACCAACCTTCTTCTTCCTGTTAAGCTGAAGCTTGTAGATCTGAGTGATCGGCAAAATAAGCATGATGATATCGAGAGTGATGTTGAGTGAGACGTGGCTCAATCCGATCCTGTTTAAGTCGACGCAGTGGCCTTCGTGCGCACCATCCCATCCATTCCAGAAATGCGAGAACGGCTGGCATTGCGCGAAGCATAGAACCACGTAGGATAGCACCACGAGCATGTTGAGGATCTGCATGAGCCACAAGATGCGGCGGAAACCTCGGTTGGGGAAGATCTTCAAGAAGAAGAAGAGGATGGACGCTTTAACGACGCCTAGACCGATGATGTAGAAGAACTCGAGAACAAAGAGGAGCTGTGACATGCTTAGTATGCTGTAAAACGCAGTCCGAGAAGTTGGTCCTACTTACCTTGAGAAAATAGGTAATCTCGTAGTCATGTAAAGTCCAAATGTCTTTGCCAAGTCCTGCCTTCACGACTGAAAATGTGGTGTTAATTCCCAAGCACCCAATGACTCTCTCTGATGGCGACGAACTCACAATAGAACAGTTCCACAAAGAAACCAATGAACAACGCCTATAGGGCAATTAGAGAGCTCGAAAATCAAGGAGAGGACGATAGTCACTCACAAAAGCAACGATAATCACAGTGTCATCTGCGCCCCAGGCAGAGAGCTTCGCAATCTTGGTAGCCATCCTCATCATGATGAAGATGATACCGATGGCAGTAACGACTCCACTGATCAAATGAATGTTGGAAGTTTGGTCACTGTACGGGAAGCCACAATTCGACCATGTTGCATTGGTAACGACTACTACGCCGTCAGCTTCGCCACGTTGACGAACAAATGTATTTCCGCCCGGACTCACCCAGGCTCTCTTGTATCGTGCATGTTGATTGAATACAGGGCTGCACCGCGGCGTTGAACTTGGAATCGACGCAGAGGCACGCTTGATCCGTGGGTGAGCAGGTTGTCGAGGGAAGGGCTTTAACCATGCAAGTGATCTAGGGTGAATGATAGTCAGCCAGATGAGTCCTTGGCAGACTCGTGATGTGGAATCATGACTTACAGCGCAACTGGGAATGCCTTCCAAGCTGAGTGACTTGGCAGCCACCCCAAGGCCGCCAAGGCTTACCAACAGAACAGAGACCACGCGAAACGAATGCATAATGGAGGGCTCTGTCCGAATGGAAGTTGAACGAGACGGAAGCTTTCAGGGTCCCTCCCACCAACAATCGTTGACAGCAATGGATCCAGGAACAAGGCCAAGACACAAGGTAGAGAAGGATGATTTAAAGAACGTTTCCTGCGATCAACAGGAGGAGAAGCATGGATGACGGACCAACGCCACAGCTCGCCGTTTGTCCAGCTCTTCAACCATTGAAGGGGCTACGTTCCCAAGCTCGCATCGAGGGCACCACGGCAGATGCAGGGGCCGCATCGAAGCATCAGCCCTCTTACAAGGCCAGGCTCGTCGTGGCTTGATATTTCATTGTTCGTCTTGCTGCTCGCTAGAGGGGATCTAGCCTGTCGATCTGGGCCCACGCACGGATGCGTTTTTGTCTTCGCGGCCACCGGATGAGGGATCGCGTTTGACACCAGTGCCGTCGCTTAGGGAAGACCCAATCATGGCAATCGTAGACCGTCATCGCTACGCCTGACAACGGATGGAAGGAACAGATTCCTATAGGGTGATAAGGGACGGCTAAAAGGCGGAGGCAGCAATCCGCGCCCAGGACGCATCTTTATCAACGCCACAGGCAATGCCTGGCTGCCTGTGCGAATGGCACAGTTGACGTGAGTGTGTGCCCTTCCATCATAGCTACTCAGAGACTGCGAGAAAGCCGACTGAATATAGCGTAAGCCAATGGGCTAAGCGAGGTACCTAGTACCATCAAGCCACAGCGGTTGATTAAAAACTCAGGGGGATGCAACTGCATGTGAGCTCCATGGGTAGGAAGAACAACATTCCTTCATCGGTTGGCCCGTTTGATCTTTCATGTCTCGAAACATTTGACGCCTCTGAGCAGTCCTCAGGATAGACAATCGCCACCAGCGTTTCCCTCTCACGTTCCTGGAGACTGGAAGGAAAGAACAATATGACCAATCTCGAACGAAAACCATGAAAGACCGCATGCAAGACATTGCAAAGGCCTTTGCGTTCATACCGCCCCGGGCGAGCTTTCCTCGGGAGCCGGAACCTTTGTCTCCACTTTCGGTTCCGGATGCGGGACAGAAGCAACATGTCGACCGATGGTGGCTGGGTTCATCCGGACATGTTTGGTGTCGTGACCATGCGTGGGTTCTAGAAGTACTACCGATCCGATCGATCTACAGGGTTTAATGACATTTTAGTCGTGTAGGTATTCGAGCCTCCAGATGTCCGGAAACGTCCGGAGAGACATCGAACATGGGAATCACAGCTCATCGGCCGACAATTCCCGGTGACTAGGTTGAAATTCTAACAGATGCAGTTGCGAGTTCAACTTGCTTCTAGTGTTTGGTTCCTCACCCGCCAATCGCCCTTCCCATCAAAAATAGACGTGTCAGCCAAAAAGATGCTTTGGTGGAACCAATTGACGCGACGACGTGTAAAGTAATTTGCTCAACTAAGCAGCAAATTTTTCACCACACGATTGAATTGGTTGAGGCTGGGCCTCGGCAAATATTCCCACCTACCGAACTCCTGGTTCCAGAAACCTGGACATCTTCAGGGCTGAAGGTATAACAAGTCTTTGATGCAGCCATCCGCTGAAACGATGCTAACGATGCAACGCTCCAGTGCTCACTAACTACTGATTGCGCTGCGAGTTGCGAGTTGCGAGTTGCGAAATGTGATTCAAGGAGTCGTTCTAGTGCGACAATGTAATGACCGAGCGGTGTTCCCAGGACTCGTGTGAACTGCCCGCCGCTCGATCCGGTGTACCCACTCCCGATTTAAATGAGGCGGATGCGAACCAAGACTCCCCCGTATGACTTCGGAATGCCGCGGGCCGTGAAGTGTTCAAGTCGTTGACATACGCAGTGGGCACCATGACTCGTCCCAATGGCATTGATCATGGATTTTCTGGTTCGGCTGGTGGGCAGTCGAATTTTGTTCCGGGAACGCCGTCAGTGCGCTGTGTTGATCAACGTCGTTTCGAGGAACTTTAATCAATATAGAGTTCAAGTCATATTAGTCCAAACACCTCAGGGGCTACACTGCCGTACAACAATGTCATGAACATGTGGAGCCGTTGCGGAAGATGAATCAGTATTTAGACAAGTGACGACTTATAACTCACAAGAAGTTGAAAAGACTCACTCAAATCAACTACAGTCAACTCTTACCCATCATCACTCGAGACTCTACAGACAAACCAAAATGCATATCTCTACTATCTCAACCCTGGGCCTCCTCCTGAGCCTCCCCTTGGCTGCCGTTGCACAATCGCGATGCCAATCGGACACGATCACCACCGATAAAGACAAAGAATATAGCGTAGCGGTCAACTTCGACAGCGCCTCGAAAAAGTACACCGCAACAGTGCCGCCTGGCGACATGTCTCTTACCATTCCTGCCTTAAGCATCACCAACAACGGCGGATACAAGCGACTTTTCTGTCTTGCCAGTGAGCCGGACAGACCACGATCTGTCAGTTGCTTTGCACTTGAGCCAAAGTCGACTTGTGCCTTGCCGGATTATTACGGTGTACCCTTCAGACTCGACACCTACCGTCGTTGAAGGATGACAACTCTAGTGTTGACACTGAGAGTGCTATCGCATACCTATGTGCTACGGCAGCTTTCATCGTCACCGCAGAATAAGACAATGATACGGCACACGTCTACGGAGTAATTGGGTACTGGCGATTATCGAGATTGCACTACATCTAATAGAATTCTGAAATAAACTTTGAACCATGGATAACATTCCCTCGCTTTGCCAAATTTGAGAAGTGATTGTTGTTGATCAAATATACCTCTACAAATGTACTTACTCAAGTATAACACTTCTCCCGATACATACACGGCCTAATACTTCAAACCATGCTTCATTCAGCGCGAAGTCTCTGAGTCTCGCCAGGCATATGGGTAAGTAGATCAGGTATCGATTAAGCTTACTGCAAGAAATGCCCAGTCTACAATGATCGGTGTTCAAATTTCGCTCTCTGCTCGAATAATTCGATCTGCATCACTGAGATTCAGCAAGGCGTTTTCCGTATCAGGATTTCACTTGCAGTGACGCTGTTGAGCCCGTGGGCACTACATGCGAAGCAACTGCCTAACAATTACCACAAAGATTTTAATTGTTTGTGGCGCTGGCAGAGCCCGCCACCAACCCCAAGCTTCCTAATATTTTAGAACATGCCTCAATGTGGGCTAGTGTGGTTTTTTCAATGGTCGGGATATAAGGTACTTTATGCACTGCCCTGAGTTGGTTTCCTACAGGCAGCACAACTAAAGTCTCACAAATGGAAAATCAGCTTCACCTCTTATAAAATATTGTTCCCAGTGATAGTTCTTTGAGGTATAAAGTCCTAGAGAAATGACAGCATTCTACCTTCGTAATCGGTTAAACGCTTCTTCCGCGAAAGATTACCGATGCTATGGTTCTTAACCAGCATTGTTGACAAAGCAGTCAACAACAGAAAGATATGAGATCAGTCAACAGTTGCATGCTGTAACCTGGGAAGACGAGGAAGAAACGTTATTGCAGCAAATTTATTGCTTACGAATCAGGTATCGGCTTTGCGCGAGGATCTGGTCAAGGACACGGCATCCGCAGACGGACAATGGCGTTCCATGTCCGAAATAGAATCCGTACGGACGGGCTACTCCGGCGGCAAAGATATGTCCGCAGGTTTAGTTCCTTTCTGCCCAGAAATAAAGTTCACCCATGACCACGAAAGGTTGTTGCAACACTGTCTGTTAAAGATTTGCTGAGAAATCAATATGTTCTCGATTCAGGATAGGGAATCTAGTAACGTTAACTCTCTTATCTGTTCTGGCAGTTGTTTCCTGCAGTGCGTTTAAGAATCAGCTCAGCCCCTACGACTGTAAAAGATGACCCAGATTCGTCTTACATCTAATCTCTGCTCATTGTACTTACCGAAACTTGGGACAAAGGAATGGCCAGCATAAGCCACCAAACAATGTCGCAATCCAATACAGTTGCGGTGTTCGGCGTAAGTCCTCTTCCAAAAACCCTTTTACAACAGTACTAGAAGCCGACTTTGAGATGACGGTTATCACTTAGGTACTCAACTGAGTGAAAGTCGTTCCCACCGCAGGTGAAGATAGCCATCACCGACTCCAGTACACAATCGCTACACCAAGCGTTGACAGGACAAGACGCCGTGCTATGTGTCCTGGGCCATACTGTATCTGACAGGCAGGTTGATGTGATCAATGCTACTGCGAAGGTCGGCGTCAAGACGTTCATCCCAAGCGACTTTGGAACTCCCAAAGGGCCCAACGACGTCCCGGAGTACCGCGCTATCCTGAGGAAAAAGGCACAAGCACAAGCGCTTCTGGAGGAGAAGGCCAAAGAAGACGACAAGTTCACTTGGACCTCATTCTGGAATGGTCCTCTTCTAAACCGGGTGAGCATTGTACGATGTTGTTTTCACGAGATTCCAGTGCCTAACGGAAGTCTCAGTCTATGGCCTTGTTTCCCAATTTCGGCTTCGACCTCATGAACCACTCAGCCACGATTTACGACTCAGGCAACGAGTCCTTCACAGCTATGAGCATTGGAAGGATCGGCAAGCCAATCGCTGCAGTCTTCAAGCATCCCGAGGAGACAAAAAAACGATGTGTCAGGCTACTCGCTTTTACAACCTCACAGAGAACAATCCTCGAGGCGCTGGAGAGACTGACGAACTAGAAGTGGGATACTGCCACGGTCAGCACTGAAGAAGCCAGGCAAGAAGGCAAGATCAAATTGCAGAGAGGTGACTCTGAAGGGGCATCCTCCCGTGGCTCAACTCTATGAGGATGGAGCCGGCAGATCCGTCCTGGACGGGGCAGATAATGAGTTGCTCGAGGTTGAGCCTGAAGAACTAGATGAGGTGTTAGAAAGGCGATGGCTTGGGCTTAGCGGTCAGGTCTCCTCGGGAAGGGTGCTAGTAAGAGCTAGCAAGAGGGACACAAGCAACAAAGGAGCAGCTTGTATAGATATCACGCAGGGAGCATACCCCTAGCTAGGAGGCAGATATCAGTGATTCGTCCTTTTAATCCTAAAAGTAGTTGGCTTCTGTGAGCTTCTTCCCTGTGTCACAAACCTAAGGCATTTGACATTAGCTTTGGGGTTCATTGGTCAAGGTCAACTAAATCGTGTTCTTGGTTTGACCCGCCTCAAAAGTGAGCCCGAAGTAATTGTCCAAATAACTTATTACCCCGCGGATACTTTATAGGAGCTCGGAACTCTGCTCACTGACCACCAAAGTAACGGCGTACCTGTCAGGCTCTGCCCGGATAGGGGATAGCATAAGGGGCAACAGGAGGAGGGCTAAGCAACAAAGGAGCAGATCAGATATCAACAGAGGGCTGAGAGTACACTTCGAGGGAGGGGGCAGAATTCAGTAATTCATCTTCTAAACCCTAACAGTAGTTGGCCTCTGTGAGCTTCTTCCCTATGTCGTACACACATTGACAGCACCTCACAAAGTAGTGTGGCATCGGGGGCTGTAATAACCCCTGCATCACGAGATAAAGTATCTTTTGCTTAGGTAAACCCCAAGAATAGAAAGTAATAACGTGAGGGAGTCACGGCAGTCGCCAGTGTATCGCACTTTCCTCGGGGTTTAAGGTCGCTCGGTCCGCACCTTCCCACCTCACTTCGGCTCCTTCCTGCACTGCCTGACCTCAGACATACGGGCGCATCTCCCCTTCCGACCCAACCTCCCCGCCTCAGTACACGTCAACCCGTCACAACTTTACAACTTCTTCACGCAGAAAGCACCTTGTTCATTCCTTCAATTCACCAGCACGCACTACTCTAATCTCTCACTTCTTTTCCGAGTCCCAAGCGAGTGCTTTCCCTGATAGGACGAGCCCAAGCCTTCCATAATCTCCGACATCGCTCATCGATATCACTCACCTCCAGCTTCACAGCTATTCTTCCACCGATCCGACGAACTTTCGCGAATTCTCCTGGTACCTAGACAGAGACACGTCGAGTACCTTGTTGTCGTAACCAGAGACAGCATCGCGATGTACAACTACTGGGAGTGCAACACCTGCAATCGCGGCTTTGGCAGCGAGCATGCAGTCCAGCAACACATGGATGCACTGGGCCATTGGGGTTATGAACATACACCCCAATATTATAGCCGCCCCAGCTATGAATGCAACGATTGTAACGATTGGTATTCCGACGAGCAGGATCTCCACGACCACCAGGCCGAGAAACACAACTACTGCGGTCCTTGCGACCGCTATTTTAACAACCAAAACAACATCCGGCAGGTCAGTCATTCTCATCCATTCTCGTCTTCAACAGCATAACTCATCGTGATTAGCACTTGAACTCCAGGGTTCATCGCAGCACCGGCGATATCCAGTGCCCCTTCTGCAAGCAGACAAGCAACACTGCAACTGGTCTTATCCACCATCTTGAGCGGGGTGCCTGTCCCAACGCCCCTCTGGACCGCGATAAGCTCTACCAGGCCGTGCGCGCCCGCGACCCCAACGGAGTCATCTGCAAGAAGCTTTTACAGTGGCACGCATCTCCTACCTACACCGCCACCAACCGAACATACAATGAACATATCGATGCTTACGAGTGTTATCTCTGTCACCGTGCCTTCTCGTCTTTGAGTGGTCTCAACCAGCATCTCAACTCTCCCGTTCATCAACAGAAACTCTACCACTGCCCGAATCGTCGTTGCGGTCGCGAGTATACCACCCTCGCCGCGGTCATCAACCACCTCGAAAGCGAATCCTGCGGCTATATGCGCTTTAAGGCAGTGCAGAAGAACGTTGGACAGATTCTCGATCCGCGTCGGATGCTTTCTCTTTAATGGAAGGTGCGATACTTGTGAGAATATTCTCGAAACAGTGGGCGTACGATGTGCGAACATGTGGGTACAGGTCTGCCGCGCGCCATGAAAATACTTTGGCGAGACTGGTGTGAGACGATATGGAAGCGTGGAGCCGAGAAATCGTGGCTGCCAATATGTTGCAACTGTACAAGCTGATCGTGTCGTTTGTGTCTAGATTCCCTCAATGATAGGTTAAGGGATTGAATGAAAGACTTTCTCTGTAATTGATTCGTTCCCCGGTCACGATCCGTCAGGCAATAAGGCACAGTTGATTTCTGCATTGCGGCTCACTCAAAGAGGCATTTACCAATGAAAGGCCTGACTTGCTTTATTGACTACCAATAGGGTGCAGGCGGTTCCAAACGAGATCTGGGCTCGCTTATCCATTCGTACCCATGATGTTGGGGAAAATGCGGAATCACACCCTCCGAAAACCATGCGTATCCGGAACTGCAAACCGAGTCCAGACGCTATGGGGCCGTCTGTCATTGGTGCCATAATAAGTCTTTGCCTGAATCGAGTCCGGTATCCAAGACATATCGCGCTTGCTCCCGCATTGCCGGGCCCAATTGGTAACAGAGACCAACGGAGCCCGTCAAGATGACACCTAAATCAGAAAGCAGCTTGTGAGTGTATCCCCTGGGATCTAGGTTCCTACCAATACATTTAAGGCTGATTCTGTCTGCATTCGAGGCTGATTCGGGTCTGTTTCAGTCAGACTTGTCCTTCTCATGCTCTTATCCGGCATATCTTCTCTCAAACCTCATGAGCCTACGACTGTTCAAGAAACAATTACTAAGGTCCTCAAAAGGATTGTAGTCTACCTAGCTCAACAGGTAAACCCTCAGTATTCTGAAACTCGTCTATATCTACCATGGGCTTAGAACAAACGCACAATGGGGACGTAGATGGCAACACCGATACCTCAAAACCCACGCACCCAACACTCAACACCATCGATTTTAACCTCCAAATTGGCGTTGAAGAAATTCTCACCGATGTTGATCCCGATGTCTCTCTGGAGTTTTTGCAGAAGGCCGAGGCTCACTCTGGAAAGCCTCCTCCAACGCGCATATCGAGAGAGGTGCTCGTCAGCACGCACAATAACTATGTTGAGCAGCAACAAAAGTCTGGGCAGCAAACAGGGCCGCGAATGGTAAAGAAGGTCGTGTTGGCACTGTCATATCCGCCGTCTGTCAAGTCTGTAGCGGATCTCACACCGGTACGTAGTTCTCTCAGACATGAGGCAATTCGGCCAGCATCGCATCCGCTTACCCATGTCCAGATGCGCCTTGACGAGCTTTTGGTAGAGAATCATCACGAGGAAAAGTACCTCGTCCTCAGGACAATCGTTCAGCCCTACCCAGGAGCCGGGACTATTACTGTCGTCGAAGATCAATATGGCAGCGTTGATAAGATGGCTCTTTACAATCAGGGCAACTCTACAATTTTGCAGTCTATCCCGGAAGGCTCAATGGTTCTCGTGAAAGAACCATATTATCGTTTCAGCGGCGACAACGACTTCATGCTTTGCGTTGACCACCCCTCAGATATTGTGCTTCTTCGACCAGGCCCAGACGATGCGCTCATCCCAGAGCTTTTCAGGGCGGTGCCAGAGTTCGAGACTGCCGCTGACTGGAAGGCCGCTGGGGATCGAGCCTTTATCTCCAAGAATCTCCCTTTGGCAGTGGCGAAGTGAGATGAACCACCCTTTCTTTTAATTGAATACAGGCTTATACGAGTTTTGTAGTTACACCAGAGCTCTAGAATTGGCCTCAGAGAAAGACACCTCCTTCCAGATTGATGTTCTATTGAAACGAGCGGGGATCAATCTTACCCTTAATTGTTTTGACGGCGCACTATCAGACGCTCTCTCCTCGAGAGGGGCATCCTCAGACTTGAAGTCGCATTTCATTGCGGGCAAGGCGGCTTACCAACTCACGGATTTCCAGACTAGCAAGCTACACTTCGACTCGGCTCTAGCACTCAAACCCGAGGCAGCCAACATCCGGAAGGAATACGAAAGATGCGAAGCAAGACTCGAGGAAGAAAAAGGCAACTACGATCTCGCAGATATGACAGCGAGTGTCACTTCCAAGAATATCCACATCGACAGAGCAAGCTTTTTGGCACGCACCCAAGTCAGAGACTCACCACACCACGGGCGCGGCCTCTTCGCCACAGAAAACATCAAGGCCGGGGAGATGGTATTCGCAGAGAGAGCAACAAGTGTTCCTAACGAATTCAATCCAGAACACAACGCAGCTGCAGCATACGCCCAGCTCGTGGAGTTGTGCACAGATAACCCAACAATTCACAAGAAGGTTCTAGACCTCCACGGAGGGTCCTACAAGCGCACCGGCCAAGAAGGCACACTTGTCGACGGCAGACCAGTCATCGATGTCTTCCTTCTCGAGTCTATCCGCCGCAAAAATTGCTTCAGTGGCGCCCAGGTGTCGGCGCAGGCCGCGAATTCAGAATGGAACATGTGGAAGCAGGGCATGTCGCGCGGGCTCTGGGTGTATTCGGCCTATGCCAACCACGCGTGCCTTCCCAATGCTAACAGGTCCTTCATCGGGGACATGCTCATCGCCACGGCTACTGTCGATATTCCTGCCGGCACTGAGATTACACATATTTACCTGCCTCCTAAGGCGGCGTACCTCCATCGAATGCCGCAATTCCGCCGCAGCTGGGGTTTCGTCTGTAGCTGCGCCCTCTGTGCCGGTGAATCCGGGTCCTCGACGGAGCAGCACCAGAAGAGGAATACTGTTCTTGCAGAGATCGAGGCTCTCATCAGGAGAAAGCGTCCAACCAAGTTCTACCCTGACGCGATGATTCGACAGGTCGAGAAGTTAGCAAACAAGCTCTCTGGTCTTCATGAGAAAGAGGTCTACGATGACCTTTCATTACCGCGCCTCATGCTCGTCTGGCCGACGATGTGGCTCGTGGAAGTATGGCACACCAGGAAGCAATGGAAGAAGGTCGTCAAGTGGAGTAGTGAGGTTTTCCGCAACTTTGGCTTCGTCGAGCCGGTGAGAGAGGGGAGGCTGTGGATGTATAAGGACACCCAGGCGGTGACGACGTTTGAGGTCATAAGGGCCTTGAAATGGTCGGCCGAGGCCTACACCGCACTGGGCGAAGGGGCATTGGCGAGAGATTGTTTGGATGCTGCGAGGACTGGGTTGAAGACCATGGTTGGGTTTGTCACAGAAGACACATTTGCAGCGTTCAAGTAGGCCGTTTGTCATTGTGCTCCTGACATCGAGCGGCCTTCCGTCCTATCACATTCTTTGCTTACCTCTCAAGTCCGGAGGTTCCGCTCCCTCGGTAACTGACGGGTTGCGCATCATACGGAAGGAAAACGAATAGTTTTGATTGCGCTATTTGTTGAATTCACAGGATAAGAAATATCAGAGGCTTGGCAAACGGCGCTCTTCTTGGCATCGCGGACGTTGAGCATGAATCAGGGCATAGCGTTATCGCTGCGAAGAACCCCTTCTTGGCAATTCAAGGTTTTCAGCTGTGTGAAGTCTCCCAGCCATCAGCCTGTGAGACTGTTGTTTTTCCCCAAAGCTGTGAGCACGTGGGACGCCAGGAATTGAGTTTCGACGTGTGTTATGGGCCCTTTGAGCACAAAATTGAAAGTAAAGCCTGGCTTCTCGCTTCTTACTTCGCTAAATCTTATTCTTTCGGGCATATTTACCCAATTGTTACGTATTTCCCAATATGTCATCGTGCGCGAAAGAGTTGCACCGCATTCGTTTCTCCAACGTTGTTACCTGCGAGGGTCCATTCCGGGAATCTTCGAGCTCGGCGCAAGGGAGCATCACATCCCCCGCGCGTTCAACCTCCACTCACCACCAACAACACCAGCCAACTCTACAACATCACCTCCGATCCCTCACAAATGGCCCCGACAGACCAGGAAATAGATCGCGTGCTTATCGTTAGCCTGTGAGGGGAAATCGACAATGAAGCGGGGTACGCAGCAGTGAAGCTGCAAGCCAAGAACACTTCTGCCATCGATGCTTGGCTTCCCCCACCTCGTGGGAGGTCGGTCAGCACTTCTTCGGACAACGCCGATCTCAATCCTCGTGATAAGTTCGGTTTTCTTGCTGCTGTGAATGTGATGAGTGAGCCGGACTCCCTGCTGACGCTCTTCCCTTCCCCAAAGTCCTTCCATGCCGGCCCCGGGAATGTGGGAAGAACTTTACGCGGCAAGTACTTGGACCTTCTATGTTGAGTTAGACGCTTGATCGTGAAAGAGGAGGTTTGAATCGACCACCCACGATGTCTTGGCTCGTGTATATCACCACAACTCCCGCCCCTCCGTAAAGATGTGCCTCCATTGCCAATCCAACCTTCACCCCAAGTGTCATTCGATCTTGGCCCTTTGCCTCGTGGACTGTGCTCCGTAGCATTCCACGATGTCCGCCTCCGCCCTCGCCCTGGTCCTCTTGGCGTCCGCGCCCTTGGCCACCCTCGCCCAAACCTTCCAACGCCTCGGCGCCTGCCCAGACCTCGGATGCGTTTTCCCGCCCGACCAAGCCCATTTCCTCCCCGGCCAAAACTTTGACATCCGCGTCGAGATCCACGCGCCGGTTAACGGGACCGAGGCCTTCAACGACGGCGTGCCGGACCCGGAGTTCACCCTCACGATTGCGAGCAATAGCGAGCCCGAGGGCAAGTCTGTCGTCGATTTCTTTGGGATCGAGAAGGAGCCTGAGCTGGAGACGTGGACGTTCTCGTGGTATGAGGATCTGTTTGCGCAGGATGCGGGGAATAAGTCTGTGGTGAATGTGGCGTCCAAGGCTTACCGTCACTTGTCACTGTATGAGCCGGGGAACTACACGGTTGAGTTGAACTATTACAACGGCACGAAGAAGACCCTGGCGGAGTGGCTGGTTCGTCCCCTTGCTGAGGAGAAGAAGGCCAAGAATGTGATTTTGTTCATCGGGGACGGTATGACGACGAACATGATTACGGCTGCACGCTTGTTGGGTCACAAGAGCGTGAATGGAAAGTATCAGTCGAGGATGCAGATGGATCAGTTCCCTATCTTGGGGCATCAGATGGTGAGTTGCGTTGGCGGAGGGAAGAAGGCGAGATGAACCGTGATCAAATGCTAAACCGAGAGTAGACACATTCCGTCGACAGCTTCATCACTGACAGCGCCAACTCTGCGTCCGCGCTATACTCTGGTCATAAAGGCACATCGGACTCCATGGGGTGAGTTCATGAACCAAGGTCTTTGCGAAAGAAACCGAGTATTCATCGTATTGTAGTGTATACTCCGACTCATCGGCAGATGACTTTGACGACCCCAAGGTCGAGACGATTGTAGAGATGGTAGTTCGCGTCTGGGTAAGCCGTATTTCACGCATCCGGGTTCTCTTTTGGTAGCTGACACCTCATAGGGATCCGCTTGGGGCGCCGTGACAACTGCTGCTCTCGACGATGCCACTCCAGCAGCATTGACCGGTCACAGCAGATCTCGATCCAACGCCGGCTCTCTCATCGATCAAGCCCTCAATGGCATGACGAACTACTCTTGGAGCAGCCACCCCGGCCCAGACGTCTACTTCGGCGGCGGTGCCTCGACCTTCCTCCCCGGGGCAACCTCGTACGAGAGCAAGGACTACTACGAAGAATTCCGCAAGCAAGGCTACTCCGTAAGCTGGAACGCCACGTCTCTTCGCGAAGCACCCATCGATTCCCCAGCCCTCGGCGTCTTTTCCACCTCCCACCTGCCCGTCTGGCTCGACAGGAAGATCTTCAAAGACAACATCGCCGCACTCAAGACCCACCCCTCCGGAGACGGCTCCGCGCCGCTCGATCTCCCAGGCCTGAAAGACATGACTCTCAAGGCCGTCGATATCCTCATCGAGCGCAGCAACGACACGGGCTTCTTCCTCATGTCCGAGGGCGCCTCGATCGATAAGCAGATGCACGCGCTAGACTACGACAGAGCCCTGGGCGACCTCCTCGAATTCGACGACACGATCCGCGCGACGGTGAAGAAGCTCAGCGAGGCAGGGGAGCTCGAGAACACGCTCATCGTAGTGACGGCCGACCACGGTCACGGCTTCGACGTCTTTGGCGTCGCTGATACGAAGTACCTCGCCGCACAGGACACGGACCGCAAGAAGCGCGACGCGATTGGCATCTATGAGCGGTCTGGCTTGTCACAGTATACCGTTTCCCGGCCAGACGGTATCGAGTACGGTACTGGGCCTAACTTCCCGTCCAACTGGAGCCCGCGGTACGCTATTGCGCCTGCGTTCGGTGCCAACCCGGATCGGAATGAGAATTACCAGCTGCATGAGAGCCCCCGTCGGGTGGCGGTGAGCGGTGAGGACGGATACGTTGCGAACCCCGAAGATGGCGAGGATGGTTTCTTCGTTCCGGGTACTATCCCGACGTCATCTTCGTCAGGTGTTCATTCCCTGACTGATGTGCCCGTCTTCGCTATGGGGCCCTGCCAGGAGACGTTTGCGGGTGTGTACGACAACACGGATGTCTTCTTCAAGATTGCTTCTTGTCTTGGGCTTGGACAGTCTTCCCCGACACCCAAGAGGAAGTGATTGTATGGGGCGCACGGGTTTCTGAGCCAGGGGGTAAGAAGCACATAATTCGTCGTAGGCAATTCTAGACCAAGTCTGCCTCTCGATGACGGGTATGCAGAATCATCTTGCAGCAATCAACATTTTCCGTTCCAAACTGCAGCCTCTGTGCATCCTTGACCTGCCACACTTCTTCCATGTCTTTTTGCACGCGTCGGAGGGAAGGCAGTTGCCGATTTTGATACATCTCCCTGATCCTGACAAGAACCATTTGACGTAGGTGGGCCTCGACAGATTCGCAGCCGCCAGTCCATAGAGGCCACGCATGAGCAGAGACGAAGGATGATGTGATAGGCACTTTCAATAGGTGGTAGATGCACTGCTCTGCGTAGTATGGCTTGGTCGACGATTCTCCGTCGTCCCAGACTCGATAAAGGTAAACAATCGCCGCGTGTTTGTAGGCTTGGATCGTGTGCTCAATATCAGGATCCCCTTCCTCAGAGAAGCTGAATTCCAATAGGTTTCTTTTGATGACGTAACCCCTCTGCTGGTGCGCTTCGCCGGATTGCCCTTGCATCTTGCTGATGGTACTGACGATGGAGACGACTGAAGTGAGCTTGGCCAGACTATGCAAGCCTTCCAGAGGCGCGACATTCGTCATGCTCAACAGCGGCTTTGATGCGCGAGAAATGGATGACATGACGTCGTGGTAGAAGCAGAGGCTGAGCAGAAACCGGGCGCTTGAAGTATTCCAGTTCGCGGGTCCTCCCGAGTGCATGATGACGGCTTTGGCTCCAGCCAGATGATCGATTTGGCTGTCGGTATTGAAGAGGCGGTCCGAAATCTGGAGCATCAGGATGGTGGCCAGCGAGAGCTCCGGGTTCTCGGCCTGAATCGATTCTCGTAAGGATGACAAGGCGACGAGCATATGGCGTGAAGATAGCGTTTTGAGGTTACTGTCATTCCGGAGGATGGCGAGGTGGCCCGCCGCCATCGAGGAGATTGAGAAGAGCAGAGCTGTGGAGCGGAGCATCATGGGCGTGAGATGGACGAGGAACGGGTTCTGCACGCCGGATGCCATCGATATGACACTCGCTAGTGACCCACTCCAATGATGCAGCAAGTAGCGGTTCATTGGGGAGACATCTGGCGATAGATATGACGGATTCCGGATGAGACTGTCTGGGCTCGATGTCGACGTCGCCGTCATCGAGCTGGAGCTAGGCGTGGCGGGCTGCTCATCGCTTGAAGGCGGCGTGACCTTCCGAGGTCCAATACTGCCCTTGGACTTTGGACCTTTCTTCTTTGTAACTCTTCCGCCGTCTTTGGGGTCGTCGGCTGACTTCCATCTCACTCTTAGCCCGTACCCCTTGCATGTCTTGCCCAAGCGGACACAGCGGCCGCAATGAGGCTTTGCTTCGTCGCATTTATAGCCCTCATCTCTGTCATTGAACTTAGTACCAAGATTCCATCGTCGGAGGATAAGGGATCTTACCGGCATGTGAGGCACCCTGTTCTACTCCTCTTGTGCGGCATCTTCGAGGTGGATTCCGGCACAAACACAGCATGATCTGAGGGGTCGCCGATGGATTGATTCTTCAGCAAAAGTGGGGTTCGACGTCCCCTTTTGCCAGCGGCGTTTCTATTCTTAAGTCCGAAAGTTGGTGATCTTGGCATTCACCAACGACTCATGAGCATGTCTAGTTCCACCAGTTCGGTGAGCAGAAGAATGTGAATCATCAACATCTTGAGAGAGTCTGATCAGTTATGGTTCGGCGATTATCGAGAGACTTATGGCAAGTTTACGGGGAAGACATCCTGGTCCCTAGTGGAATCTGGAATACTGGTCTCGATGCGATTGAATGAGTGATACTAGCTATCTTGAGGTGGGAGAATACTCCTGGGGCGCTCTGATGTCGCAGCATGTGAAATGTTTCCATTGACTTCAAGGTGCTCGGTGAAGTTCTTAAGGAGCGCTGCCCACGCTTTCCCTACACATGGTTGTTATGTCCACCACGACGTGCGAAGCCTTTCATCCAGCATCAGTCAGGACGTAGATAAAGTAAGCCAGCAATTCTTGATAACATCGAGATATTTCAACAAAATGAGACCTCAAAAATCTCGGTATATGGAAGTTGATCTTCTCGGCAATCTAGTCCGTAGGGCAAATCTCTCGACTAGCGACGTTGGCATTTAAGCCTGCGGCGAAGTTTATGACGAAACCCCGTTCACATCTTTCTAAGATGCTACGAAACAAACATTGAATCTATGCGCCTTGATGCTTTAACCTCTGCGCGTTGGTAAAGTCATCATAGCTGATTGGCGACGGCATATACTTCAATTCTTGTTGAATCCAAGCGATCAGTGCAATCACGCCATAAACCTTTGGAGGTGGGTCACACGCCCGCTGATTGACTTGCACACTCATCCAATTCACTCATCCTATCAGTTCAGAAAGATGGAAGATATCACAAATCAAAATGGTCTAAATAGTGCCCTTGTTGTCTTGTACGCTTCCAAGGACCAAGCTCGAGGATGGGCCCAATGGAGATCCAAGAGCAACGAAACCCCGCACAAAGACTTGTTTTTGTACTACAACTGGTATGAACAAGTTTTTTTGACTCGAAGAAAAGTTCGCTGTGCCTGCATAGTCCACGTAATATCCCGAGGGGGAACATATCCCGTTGGGTCGGGTAAGCTGGGCACCAGGCCCGTGGTCTTTGAGCAAGCAAACATACATCATTTGTTTAGGCCAACATGCCCAGTAGCAACGCAGTATCTTCCAATGCTGGTAATGAAAGACACCAATATGCATTGGTTGCAGTTTAACGGCTCTCATATCACTGCATAGTGGTAGAGAGGATAAAAGGAATCGGCTTAGGGGTGGGCATCCGGTTGGTTTTGAGCGATCTTGGCTGCAGCTTTTGATCAGTCAGGGGCCAGGCAGTTTATGTTGCGCATGAGGCCAATCCGGGTTAAGATACTGCCTAACACTGCCAAATTTCATCGACGGGCGGGCCTGTTTCTGCAGTCCCGGATGCGACTTGACTCACATTCTCATCGTCCGCCTGTTCCTTCTTCTATTTCCTCATTTCCCTACACATGATGTATCTATGGGAAGAAAAAATAAATTTGCGGCACTATCCAACATAATTTACTTCTCCTTATCTATTCATTTCATTCCCAAGGCTTCTGCATGGGATATTTTCTCCGAGCCAGCTGCGTACTGGAACACCTCTGATGTAGCCTGGATCCTCCTGGACGTACTTAGGATGGTCTTAGAATGTAATTTCGGGCTTTTCGAGATAAAACTACTATTTAGAAGCTACTACTGTGAATTATGAATTACCATACTCCGAGTAGTCGGCAAAGACATGAGCTCTTCCACTCATGTGCCCTTACCAACACTTCTGTCTTGTGGCCCCTGTTTACCCAGGAACAGGTTGCCACCAGAACTCACCCCGATGCTCGGTTAGCAAATATGTACAGGGTTTAAGGTTATTCTTTTACAAGCCGAGTGAAATGTTCGCATGTTTGGCGATTTGAAAGGGTTGATTTGGATATCCATAATGTTTGCCATCTACCCCTGCCAAAATCCTTTGAGGCATGCACTTGATCTTTTCAGGCAGTTTGCCAATCGCGTTGGTTTGCTCGGGCTGATGACCCGGCCGAATATGGACTAGTAGACTACATTCAACAATGAAGATGAATGTGAAGCATGGAAAGTGAAGGCATATCAAGCAGGGGCTGGAAATTCTCTCCAATCGCCGGTCATCATCCAACACCATTCCCTTTCACTCGCAATTCAAATACCCTTAAGTCGTCCCTTGCAAGACTATGCGGCAATCAACATCCGTTCCTTCCTCTTAGATCTGGAATTGGTGTTCAGTGGCCCTTCAAGTTCTATCATGTTTGCGATGTGACGCGGAGAGTAAATCAATCCATTGCAAGGGGGAATAGGAGCTGTTCTCGCAGCCAGGCTCTAGATACGCCACCGTAGGAAGCTCCTCGTGTAAAACTGAAGCAATCCCGCAATCTTCTTTCCAAATATTTGAGACACACTTGTGTTCCATGGTTCGTGCTCGTTTTCAATGTTCTTTATCTAGTATGCGCCGACATCTTCACCGCACACTGCTGGAATACAACCCACCATGTCGAGTCCAGAAAAGGGTTCCGAGGCTTGGAAGGCCCAGGACAAAGGCCCGGGAATCATTACAGTTTGCTGGATCTTCACCGCTCTGAGCACATTATTCGTCCTTGGCAGAGTAGTAGTCAGGTGGAAGATCATGAGAAAATTCCACAGCGATGATTATTTTGTCATCGCAGGGCTGGTATATTCTATAATTCTCTTCACACCGCCGTTGTGGACGTTTCCTGACAATAGCAGGTGTGCGGCTACATTTCCACTTCGCTCTCGACACTTGCAGTATACTCTGGTATTGGCAAACACCTAGAGCTGCTCACTCTGGAGCAACAACAAGATGGCATGTTGTGGACGACTGCTGCCCAATGCCCCGGCATCATGTCTTTCGGCCTACCTAAGCTGGCAGTAGTATCACTTTTGACACGACTAATGAACCCTGGCGCATACCATAAGTGGTTCCTGTGGTGGATGGGAATATGGTGCCAGTTGACACTTTTCGTGACTGTTGGACTTCTGATAGGGCGATGCACACCAGCAAGCTCATTGTGGGACTTTTCCATCCAGGGGACTTGTTTCAGTCCGGACATTCTAATCAACTTCTCGATTTATGCAGGCAGTAAGTCGTTAGTGATGGCATTATTGCTCTCGAACTGACTAGAAGTACAGCATTTTCGGCCTTCGTTGATGTCTACCTAGCTGTGTACCCATCCATCATTCTATACCGCCTTCAAATGCCAATTAAGAAAAAGATTGCACTGTCCAGCGCTCTTGGCATTGGCGCAATGTAAGCAATGTCGAAAAGTTGCGTTCACTCTTAACTTCTGATTGACGATATCCTGCCACAGTTCAGGCATTGTCGCCATCTATAAGACGACACGCCTCCCTTTGCTCGCGAGTGAAGACTACTCGTGTAAGACCTATACCCACCATTCAGATGTCCAGGGTACCATTTTGCTAACTGAAGTTCCTCCTTTCCAATAGATGAGACACCTGACCTAGTAGTTTGGACAGTGTAAGTCGCAGTCGGCGTCTCGGCTGTGCAGAGTCGCAGCCCGTGGCGGTGATCAAACCCTTCTAACTAGAGTTTACAGGATCGAAGGCAGCACCATCATAATAGCAAGCTCCATCCCTGTCTTACATCCGCTCCTAGAGCTGATCCTCAAACGCAATCCATTCTCGTCCGCAAGAGCATCCAGGCCAACGGCAAAATCCTCCGACAATAACACGGGATCAGCACCGAGTAACTATCGGCCCTCACGCGTGTACGGAAACTACGAATATGAGCTAGGCCAACGCAAGGCGAAACCAAAGCCCAGAGATGATCTCGGATTCACCATTGTTGAAGGGGAAAGTCAAGAGAACATCGTTTTCGGAGAAGGTAGATCGCGAGCTCAAACAGCTACGTCTATTGGCAGTCATTATAGTCAGCCTGAGGATGGAAGGATTGTCCGTACCGACGTAGTCACTGTATCCTACGATGAGAATGGACGAGCAGGAGAGACGTCGGCTTCAAAGCGATGGAGACCTGTCTGAAGGGCAGATTTCTGTAGGCTCTATTGCCTCAAGTCATGAGGCCCGTGGAACCTTGACTCATTAGAAAAACAACCTGTGCGGGTAGTAATAATTGGTTTAGTAATTATGTAAGTGACAGTCTGCGTTGTTCATGGGTTCTGCATTCTGTTTTTCTTCTCTGCACTGGAAAAGATACTACCGCCATCATAATGTACGCTGAACTTATCATTGTTCCAACATCCAAAAGGTCAAATTTCGATGCAATGCCGGTAGTATTCGAACCAGATGATATCGTTGGAGATTCGCATGATCGCGCAGTTGCGGCGACTCAATCACAATCAAGCATTGTGAGACATGTTATCCATGCCCATCAGCAAGTGGTCTTATTCAAAGAAAAACAGCGGCCTGGAACCGGCTGAAAGATGTGCAACTAAGAAAGTTGTCGGATGACTGGTATTCAAGTACACCTAGTAAGAGGCAAACTCGTTCCGAATGAAGGCCTGGCGAGGATCAACATCGCCCAAGCCCCAACCGCCCAGCTCCCATGATTTGAATGATTAAAAAGTAATTTGGACAAAGCCGCTAAACGCCGTTGCCCATAAGTCGTCTCCCGTGCACCATCGCTTCCCAATATATCGACCAATTGGAATGGAGTTCTCTAGCAAGCGCCTTGTACGGCCTGAAGTAGTGGGTCAGCGTAATTATTCAAAACTGTGTGAGATTGAAAGTACATACCATTTGCTGGTTCTCCATGTTCTTCTTGATACCACCAGAGAAATCCATCATAAGTGACTGGACGACGGGCATATCTTGTGCGGGGTTGCCGGTAAGACCAGCAACCTTTTGCAACTCAGAGAGCTGGGCGTTGGCGACCTTGGCTTCAGGTTAATACGGGTATTCATAGGTTGAAAGGGGTTCCAGTCACTTACAACAGCGAGTCCCTGGGTGGCCATATTGCCAGAGGGAGCGATGAGCTGGTTGGCCTGTCTGACCTGGATACCGTCGCTGACGAAAGACAGGAGGTTGGACTTGGCGGTCTGGAACTGCTGGGGGTTGGGAGGGTTGGCCTGAAGAGCCTGCATAACGGCGTTGACACCGTTAACCTCCTGTTGCTGGACCTCGATGTTCAAGGCGATGCCACCAGCCAGAATCTTCGCCTCGGCGCAAGCGGGGGTGTCTCCGGCCGCCGGGGCGGGAGGGGGAACGGGGGCGGCTCCTCCGTTCATCTGGGCAACGGCCAGGGTGGCGAGGGACAGGACAACAGCGTAGGCCTTCATTGTGACGGTTGGTGGTGATTTACGATTATTCGATAAAGATTGTATATAGTTGAATTAAAGTTGGTGGAGCCTGTCCGAGGGCGAGTAATGACCGTTTGCTGCAGTTGACGATGTTGTCCTATTGTCCGAATCCAGATCCAGTGTAGAGGCAAGGAACAATTTGAGAAAAGGCCGGGCGGGCATCTGGTCTTATAAGTCTAAACGGCGAGACGCACACTATCTAAGCCGGCCTCAACTTCACGAAGCAAAATCATGAGATGAGGCCGCCCCCCTGCGGGCTGTCCAACAGAAAGTACGAAGGCGGGCCAGCAATGGAGGTTGAAACTTCCGGATGATAGACTTTCTAGAGTGTTTTGGGGCGGTCGCCGAGTCGCTGTGCTGCTTGTTTCGAACCTTGATAACGTTGGGACGAAGAAAGGATTTCCCTGATTGTCCATCTGCACAGACGATGCATTGAGGTGCAGGGTATCAGAGTAGCCACACAGCCCACGAATCACGTCTTCGGGTTCTCCCTGTCGGCAGCTCATTCCTTCCCCCTTCCCCTGGCCGCGACTCAGTAGGGCAGAGAAGGGAGTCCGAACATGTTGAGGGGCCATGGTTTGCTTGAACAGAGCCGCCGACGGCACCCTACCAGACGTCACAACTTCACGTCTCGGACCTCGAACTCTCTTTGGAAATGGTGGCCATCCTTTCCCGCCTCGCCTGGTCTTTTGATCCCTTTTTCTACCGTCTTCTTGGGGCATCTTTGGCCACATGGTTACTCGTGCCGGCTTACAACATGGCTACATCCATGACTCGTCTGATGGACGTTTCTTCTGCCCAAAAATCTCCTTACTCAAAACAGCCATGCTCCCGAGAAGCTTAAAGGACTTGTCCGCAGCTACAACAGGCTAAGCTTTGGGTTAGTCATCTCCCGTCATTAAGAAATGTTACACACAAATGGACGTCCAAATGGTGGCACCATCCTGTCCAAAAAGGAACGGATGGCAGTTCAGACACCCGTCCTCAAGAACTGCAGGTCGGCGGTCTAATTCGTTTCGTGCAGCGCTCCCTGTCTCTTTCGCACTCGAAAAGATAAGACAATGGGGTTCGCATCCTGGTTTACTTGGTCCAGCTTCTACAGCACACGGACAACTGAAAAAGGCCAGCCATTGTCACAGGCCGTGTTAGTGCCAAGTATAGTCCCCTCGCTCAGTTGCCTAACATGTGTGCTCAGAGCGACTTGTGAAGCACTCTAGCGGGCCTTGGAATTCGGTTGTTGCCCCCTCCGATTCGCGCCCACCTCGCAACTTCTCCTCGGCCTCCCACACGGGACGCATGGGAAAACGTTTCCTCGGATTCAGCAAACCTTCGCGTGGCTTATCCCATTCATTTGGCTCCCGTTCAAGATGCCCCTACGCCGTCGGGTTTGGGGGATGAAGCCCGTTCTCTGGATCTTCTGCGCGCCATCATGGGCTCTTGTGAGGTTCGCTCCTGTTTCCAGGGACGCTAATTAACATACATTCCACGCTGTGATTGAGCAGAATATCTTCAATTCGGGGGTTGTCCGATCAGGATATACGCTCTGCTTGGTGCATCATGTTCCATCACGCCATCTTGACACGGGCATCGCTTAGATATGTCAAGTATTCCTTAAAAGAGTGAATATTATGTTCCTTCGCACGCCAATGAAACCATGATGTCTTCAAGTGCCCAGGATTTGCGTGCCCAGCATGATGCGCGAACAGTTTTCTCGGCGCATCTTGGCAAGAGGCCGATCCCGATTGCCAAGCTAATTGCAAGCGGTCGAACCAGAGACACGGGTACGAAACAGCATGACAGAAAGACGCGACAAGTATAAGCGCGCGTGATTCTAGAGGTGGCATTCGCGCTACGTTATAGCCCATCATAAGTGATGCCTGACTCGGCCGGGCTGTGCTGACGTGAAAGCGCTGGCGGAACCATTGCAACCGATGGCACAGCAGAATACCTAAGTGAGCACACCTCGACCGGATTGAGGTCTGTGAGACGAAAGCACTGTTCACAGTCAGGGTGGGTAATCAATGCTAAGACGGAAGTCCAAACAAATCGTGAGTGATATCCAGGTTTGCCAAACTCTACGAGACTGGCCACCCGCTGGATGAATGAAAGTGACAAGCGAGGAAATCGAGGCGACGGGCTCCGACAATAAGCTCAAGCTTGTGGGGATTCCGCACCCTATGACGGCTATGCAAAGGAATCAGGAGGGAGGGTAGCAACAGGCCACTTTCCCAGCCCTTTCGTCTGAAGATTGCATAAAGGGAAAGGTTGTCTTCAAGAGTGGTGTCTCGAGTGTGAAGTATCCAGTTGCCTGAGGTCTCGCCAGCCAGCGGGGGCTTTGTCAAATGCGACTCGACAGGGCAGCCTGAATGAGATGTCCTGAACGTGTAGCTAGGGGCAAACTTAAAGACCCTGTTGTAGAGCATTTCCCCTGCGTTAGCGTATGGGATCTGGGAGATTACCCTCTTGACGCAAGGATTCCTCAGCATCACGAAGGGAAGAGTTCAGTCTATCAGAGGTCGATTGAACTAGTCGTGTCCTAGATCCATCTTCACTTCTCTCTTCATATCTTACAGCAACGGTGCGACCGCACGCCTAGGATTCAACCAACTAATGAGAACAGCCCACATTCCGAACAAGTAAGTTGACAGACTTTCCGATATTTGGGATGGAAAATGCGTTCAAATCAGCCGCAAGATAAGATCAACAACGGCTAAAAGGTCGTCAAAAAGTCCGCCGACAATAAAGCGAAGAGGAAAGATGTTCCGGATGTAAGCCAATCGCTACCAGTCTCAGGTCCCCTTCGGATCCGCGACTGTGCATCTGCGGTGCGGGGAGCGGGGAGCTCGGAGTTCGGGTATCTCAGGCGCAAATCCATGTGGGACAGGGATCTCATCGTTTGATCGGAGCCAGTTGGTCTGCGTTGGTGCGTGCTGTGGACGTGTGCCTGGCGAAGGTCCGGCCTGTCCCGCGCGTCGCCCATTCGATGCTGAAGTAAGATAGACGGGTAGTCCTGATTTCAATGCCGGTTGAGTAGACGTTTCTGTCAAAGTCAATTTCGACTGCGAGGTGCGTCGACCACAGCCTGGCAAGTCAAGCGAACCCTGAGAGTCCCAAGCCTATGGTTGGAAAGCTCCTGATTGATGAGTTGATGAGGACCGGACACCTTGGCATTCCATCGTTGCGATCAACGGCCGAATCACTGTGCGGCTCATTTAAGTGTGGAACAACCAATGTCTTTTTTTCACATGATCGCCCACTCATGACATTTACCATACACCTCGTAACGAAAGTGATGCCGGATAAAGCTATCTAGCATAGCAGCATGATGATATGATAATTCACGCGACACGTGAGGACTGCACAAGATTGAAGAATGTCTTCCTTGGAAGCATTCAACAGACAGAGGGTTTGAATAGCCTATTTATAAGCAGCGAAGACTCTCGGATTAGGCAGAGAATTGCGTATGGTTTGTTGAATTCAGGCCCTGGTCTCCAACTGTGTGCTGAATGCCGGCAGTGAGTAGATGTGAGTAATGAGCTTGGGTGAAAGTACACATTTAGCAGCCTCTTTGACTTATTTTCTGCAATTACAGTGAGGTCGAGAGCAAGTTGAGAGATAGTATTTAGCATTGAAGTAAGCGGAAGGCATAAATGTCGTTGACCTTGAGATCAGGGACCCTCAAGGGATCACGAATATGTAGTACTTATGTACTTGTGCAAGACCAGACGTCGTCTCGTGGCAACTAGAATAGTACGGGCGCCAATGGGCAGCGTCAACTACGACGCCGCTAAAGAGAGACCTAGGAGCGTATGTATCTTCAGCAACCGATGGGATGCTTTGAGCCGTTGACTATGGCTATATGTTTGTGCGGAAGGTGCTTAATCTGGCATATCAAACCTTAGTTGACAATCTTGCGTTACACTATGATACGTATGAGCTTAGGCGACTGATCTCCTACGGCGAGTCGATGTGATTCATCCTACTCATGTGTTTCACGTGGATAATTCCCTATAATGTGGATTTCGTTCCGATCAACTCGCTATCATAGTGCTACTCATCACCTATCTCATACTGCTTCAACCTGTTGAAGACCTAAAGTTGCACTTCGAGCTACTTGTAGTGCCTCTGTGTGTGTGTGTGTGTGTGTGTGTGTGTGCGCTCGCTCGGGCATTAGGCCCCTGGCGACCGCCTGCGAGGCTTCATGACCGATGAATCATCATCAGATCGTAACAACAAGTACCTGGGCCGTATGGTCGAGGGGCTAATCGGGCTGCAGAGGCCCTGATTAGGCAGTGAAGTCTCCTCTTTATTTCGGGATCCAAGTTCGATTCCTCGATCGGTCGTCTAATCGTTGTTTTTGCATTTTCTGCGTTATGCTCTGGTCGTTTTTCCTCACGCAATCACCTACAGTTGTCCTTGTGTTCAAAGGAATGCCAAGTATACCTAGTCTCAACGCCAAACCATCTCAAATTCGTTTCGTTGGTACACACGTCGGAAGGGTAGCGTTCGGTCAGGTAGTAAAGCAAATTTTCTCGATGATCAGGATACGGGTAAGGAAGTCAAGAACTCAAAGACTAGAGCTGGAAAAGAGCAGAATCCATCGGCCAACGATCTCGCCGTATCAAACCCTAAACCCCAAGCTGTCTCTCAGAATTACGATTATAGGCTCGGAAGTCAAGACAACAAGCTGAAGGGGAGGGAGAAGCTAAGGCTACTTGGTCACATTGCCATAGCAAAGCGCAATAATCCTTTCATCATCATGACTCATGTAGCATTTCAAAAGCTGACTGCCCTCTACGGATACATATCCAGCCGCGGAGTAATCAAGCCATATCCTATCTATCTCGACAAGCGGGACTCCTAACCCATCGCATCGAAGAAAACTAGGTCCTCCACCGGAAAGCAGGGTGCTTCCAATCCAGATCCCGAACCTCCTGCTCCGTGTACCCAGCAAGCTCCTCCTCGATGCTACGATCGTC